AATTTAAAAATTGGCTGGGTATGGGGGCATGTGCGTGCACTTACAGCTACTCAGGAAGCGGAGGCTGAGGCAAGAGGATGGAGCCTAGGAGTTGGAGGCTGCACTGAGCTTTGATGGCATGACTGTACTCCAGCCGGGGCTTTTAACTTGAGAACGTGATGTCTGGAGTTAAAGCATTTCCACACATCTGTACTATTCTTGGGCATGATTGCTTAGGAATGAATATGATTTGAACTCATTCATGTTAGGAGAGAGTGTCAAACAGAGAACCAGCAGACCCACCACGTAGAGTAAAAAGGGCCCTAAAGCAAATTGGTTGAAGAAGTTAGATCCCAAAGATTCTTGGTGAATTTTGAAGTCTTCATCAGTATGTCCATATTAAAAGGAGAGGACAGAAGCCAAAATAAAAGCATTATGAGCTGCCAGGACAACTGGATTAAAATAAGCATCAGTTTCGTTAGAAAGGGCTAACTTCACTCCAGCTCTTTAGAGGATCTAAAGTGAACTCGATGGACAGTGGAAGAAATCACAACATGAAATTCCTTGAATAAAAACTTATTGACTTAAAAGAAAAAAAGAACACAAGGAGTTCATTCCACACAATAAAGATGGGGAGGGTGTCTCAGGCAAAGAGAATGCCATGAGGATGCATGGTTAGAACCATTTACAGCTAATAGCAGGGTGTCCTGCAAGTGTTAATTTATATCAACCTTCTCTCTCCAATTGTTAAGCTCACACTCCGTTTTTTTTTTTTTTTTTTTTGAGACGGAGTTTCGCTGTTGTTACCCATGCTGGAGTGCAATGGCGCGATCTCGGCTCACCGCAACCTCCGCCTCCTGGGTTCAGGCAATTCTCCTGCCTCAGCCTCCCGAGTAGCTGGGATTACAGGCACGCGCCACCATGCCCAGCTAATTTTTTGTATTTTTAGTAGAGACGGGGTTTCACCATGTTGACCAGGATGCTCTGGATCTCTTGACCTCGTGATCCACCTGCCTCGGCCTCCCAAAGTGCTGGGATTACAGGCTTGAGCCACCGCGCCCAGCCCCACATTTCATATTTTTAAATATGTGTTGGGCTGGGTGCGGTGGCTCACGCCTGTAATCCCAGCGCTTTGGGAGGCTGAGGTAGGCAGATCATGAGATCAGGAGTTCGAGACCAGGCTGATCAACATGGTGAAACTTCGCCTCTCCTAAAAATACAAAAATTAGCTGGGTGTGGTGGTGCATGCCTGTAATCCCAGCTACTCAGGAGGCTGAGGCAGGAGAACCGTTTGAACACGGGATGTGGAGGTTGTGGTGAGCCGAGATCACACCATTGCACTCTAGCCTGGGCAACACAGCAAGACTCCATTTCAAAAAACAAACAACAACAACAAAAAAACGTTGTGTGAATGAGTGAATAAACAAGTGAATCGACTTCTCTCCAGTCAGGTCCCCAAAGACTCTGCCTCCTCTTCTTTTTGCTTGTTGTGCTGTTTCCCTACAAGCCCCACCCCATTCCATCCCTCACCCGCCAGGTTGTTGCCCCTGGAGCAGCAGTCATCAAACACCCAAGGACTGATTCATAAACCACATTTATAGTTACCAGCACGGGCAGAGGTGAGTGCCTGGGTCAGCTGGGCAGTGATCATGGGAAGAAACAATAGACTCAGAAGCAGGGAATTGAGGCAAAAGCAATGGGTGGTGTCACTGAGCCAGGGTGGATGGCATGTGGTTCCACTACGGGACAGGCTAGCTTTGGGGGCTGACCTTGGTGTCCCTCTGCTCAAGAATCCTCCACCTGGGCAGGGTGCCCCTTTTTTAGGCTCTGCAGAGCTGAATGAGCTGGTCCCCTGCCGGCTCAAAGTGCCTGCGTGTGTGAATGCAGTGAGTGGGCTTCCTTCAAATAGGCCTAGATTTGACTTCCGCCAGTAAGGTAGACCTTTAATTGCTCTGTCCCTCTGCGGAAGAGTGACTCTCAGGGTAGTTGTGCTCCGAGTTCTGGGGGCACCTCTGTTGTCTGAGGCCAGCACCATCTTCCTCAAGCATCATATTCCCGAACCCTCCATGAGGCTGTGGTTTCAGCCACCCCTGGCTTCCAGTTCGAGTCCCGTGGACTCTGGCTGCTACCTTGACCAGTCGCCTCTGCTCCTGTCACACAGTCCTGCCCCTCCCCTTCTTCCTGCTTCACCCTCACCAGTGCCTGGCCTTCAGATAGCGCCTCACATCTGTGCATCTCTCTGCTGCTCACTTTTCCCCTGGCTTGTGGAAGGCAATCAGAGCACGTTCTATAAGGCCACCAGTTCCACCAGCTAGTGGACTTGCAGGGAAGCACGACTTTGGGGAGTCTTTGAGCAAGTGACCTTGAAGGGCTGGGTCGATGAGCACATGAATTTGTAGTTTGAGCAGCTTCTGGTGATGACAAAGCCCAGGACGTGTCCATAAGGAGCTGGCCTCTGAGGAGGAGAGCGGGGGAAAGGCTCTAAAAGCCAGGGCCAAGGGATTGAGCAGCGGGATGTTGGATGGGCTGGCCATGAGGACAGTGAAGTCACTGAGGATGAGAGCAGGAACTGGGTGGAAAAGGAGACTGGGAGCCGGTGGCTGAGTGTCAGAAAATGAGAATGAGGCCGGGCGCGGTGGCTCACACCTGTAATCCCAGCACTTTGGGAGCCTAAGGCTGGAGGATTGCTTGAGCCCAGGAGTTCGAGACTAGCCTGGTCCACAAAGCGAGGCCCCATCTCTATACAAAAAAACAAAAGAGGGCCGGGCGCGGTGGCTCACGCCTGTAATCCCAGCACTTTGGGAGGCCGAGGAGGGCAGATCACTAAGAGATCGAGACCTTTCTGGCCAATACAATGAAACCCCATCTCTACTAAAAATACAAAAATTAGCTGGGCGTGGTGGCGCGTGCCTGTAGTTCCAGCTACTTGGGAGGCTGAGGCAGGAGAATCGTTTGAACCCAGGAGGAGATGGAGGTTGCAGTGAGCCGAGATTGTGCCACTCCACTCCAGCCTGGCAACAGAGTGAGACTCCGTCCCAAAAAACAAAACAAATCAAAAGAAAATGAAAAGGAACCACCAGGATTGGTGGGCTGCCAGTATTGAGGAAAGCAGGAGGGTAGGCCAGGCAGGCGGCATGAGCCTTAGAGGAACCATAGCTTTCCAAGAGGCAGGATGAGTAGTAGTGCGGAAATTGAATTTGGGAGGAAGGAAGGCCACAGACTCAAAGCAGATGCTGAGGGATGAGGGCTGGGAGACAGAAGCGTCCACTCGAGACAGCGGTAAGGGACAGTGGAGTTCAGCTGAGGAGGCAGAAAGGGGAACTGCTGAGACTAGGTTATGGGGGAATTTTTTTTTTTTTTTTTTGAGCCAGAGTCTTGCTCTGTTGCCCAGGCTGGAATGCAGTGCAGTGGTACAGTCTTGGCTCACTGCAACTTCTGCCTCGTGGGTTCAAGTGATTCTCCTGCCTCAGTCTCCTGAATAGCTGGGATTATAAGCGCCCTCCACCATGCCCGGCTAATTTTTGCATTTTTAGTAGAGATGGGGTTTTACCATGTTGGCCAGGCCGGTCTCGGATTCCTGACCTCAGGTGATCTACCAGCCTCAGTCTCCCAAAGTGCTGGGATTACAGGTGTGAACTATTGCGCAGGGCCTGGAGGAAGTTTTCTGACTGCTCACCAGGCGTTCAGGAAGCTGGATCTTGAGGGGGAGGGGAGGCAAGGGGCATGCATTGGGTCAGGTGAGGAGAGACTCCGGGAGTAAGTTCTGACTCCTTCCCTGTGACTCAGGTAAACCAGGAGATTTGCGCTTTCCGTGGAGGCCCAAATACATGTTTATTGAAGATGAGCTGGAAAGTCTGATTCTGTGTTGAATGACAAAGTGCTAAGAATAAACCCCTTACATCTAGACGATACTTGAGAATGTACAAAGTATTTTCTTGTACTTTGCCATATATTTTCTTAATTTCCTTCTAATTGTAACCCTGGAAAGTGGACATTATCAGTGGTAAGCTCAGAGTGACTTCCTAAGTGTCCAGGCTGGGGCTGAAACTCCTTCTGTGCTGCCTTCTAGTGCGTTGATGAGTGCAATGCTTTCTGGGTTGCTTACACACACACACACACACACTGGAGTCTGTTCTTACACACACACACACACACACACACACACACACTGGAGTCTGTTCTTACACACAGACACACCCTCCTAGAGTCTGTTCTTTTTGCATCTGACCACTCTTCTGTACCTCTTTTCAACATTCAGGAAATTAATGGTTTCTCCCTAAGTCTCCACACCACACTTTTTCTCTAGTGGAGGCAGTAATCAGTTGCAGGCTCTCTTCTGACATGCTCAGAAAAATGCAGGATGGCAAGTCACAGCCAAAAACAACTCCATGTACTCAGCTGGGCTACGCGTCAGCTGCTGCGGGGAGAGGCAGAAGCGGGCATCAGGGAAAGGACAGATCACCACCCCTTATTCTGTCTCTCAAACTCCTGGCTGGGAGCCGGACTTCGGATGAAACCAGGCAATCTCATCTAGGGATTCAACGCTCCCTTCACCTATACTATTGATGTCACCCACGCCGTTTCAAGTGCTCTTGCTTCCGAAAACCTTCAGGCCGGCGGTTGCGGCCAAAAAGGGATCAAAGGTTTCTCGCCGGCCTTAAAGGTCCAAATCGCAGTGGCGTCTCGGGTTATAAATCAGCTTGACAATAAAATACCACGTGCGCGATTCCGCTCCTCCCGCGACATGACGTGACCAGACACGCCGCTCGCGTCAGGGCCCCCAGGAAGACCCATTCCCACTGTGGGGGGCACGCAGATTTGCTGTGGCACATGCACTATAACGCACAGACAAAAAGCCAGTTTTAAAAACGTCTCCGACGTGATCACGCTCCATAGATTTTTTTTCCTAATGTTTTTAGGGCTGGGCAGAAGAGAACATGGGGTTCACCTCAGGAAATTTCAGACGCCACCCCCGTCGGAAGAAGGTAGTCGCGTCCGGCTCCTCCCCGGGTGTCAGTGAGCAGACCCGGCTATGAGCGAAAGTTCTGGGCGGGGCTGGACTGTTCTAAGTGAGTTCGGGCGGGGGAGCTTCACTAGGGGAGGCTGCCCTGGGAAGGAACCGATTTCCTCTCCGCATGTCTTACCCTTTTCTCCCAGTATCTGTTTGGACATATGAGTTGAGTGCACGGTCGCGGGCGGTCAGCCCTGTCCGCAGCTACGGCGAGGAGAGGTGGGATGGCTCCCTGTTGCCTCTCCGCCTAGTGGCCGCGTCCATTCCGTGCGGTATCCTGATTTTAGGGCTAGGGACAAGTGTCAGCTTCAGGCACCGCGAAGCGTGGCGGCCCCATGGCCCCGCTGGGAGGCGCCCCGCGGCTGGTGCTGCTGTTCAGCGGCAAGAGGAAATCCGGGAAGGACTTCGTGACCGAGGCGCTGCAGAGCAGGTGTCCGCGAGGCGGGAAAGGTGGAAGGGGAGCTCTCCGCACCACGTGACACGAGGGGGGCTTGGGGTGTCACGGAGTGCGCTTTGGAGTAGGGGTCCTTCGTTTGCAGGGCAGGAGGAGGACTGGGCTGGGGAAGGAAAAATGTCACCATCACATAAAACAGCAGTCTACACACGCGAGCGTCAAAAACCAGGTGACCACCTCTCCAAAGACCTTCAGCTGCGGGTCTCTCAAAGAAGCATTAGTAATGGCGCCTACCAAGGCACTTTCTGTATACCAGGAGTTGGATACCAGCCTGGGCAACGTGGCGAGACCCCGTCTCTACAAAAAATCCAATAAATAGCTGGGCGTGGTGGCCCACGCCTGTAATCGCATCTACTTGGGAGGCTGAGGCAGGAGAATCGCTTGAGCCCAGGAGGCGGAGGTTGCAGTGAGCCGACATTGCGTCACTGCACTCCAGCCTGGGCGACAGAGAGACCCTGTCCAAAACAAAAACAAAACTAAAAGCTCCTCTTCACCTCTTTGTTAGGTACTGTGTAACATTCTTAGTATCTCCATTTCAGAGGTGAAGAAACTGAAGCTCCAAAAAGTTCAACAGGCCGGGTGTGGTGGTTGTGCCTGTAATCCCAGCACTTTGGGAGACAGAGGCTGGAGGATTACTTGAGCGCCCGGTAGTAAGATCCTAGTCTCTACACAAAAATTAAAAAGTTAGCTGAGCGCGATGGCAAGCACCTGTAGTCCCAGTTGCTCAGGAGGCTGAGGTGGGAGGATTGCTTGAACCCGGGGGCTGCAGTGAGTTATAATCACGCTACTGTCCTCCAACCCACGCAGCAGAGCCTGAGGCCCTGTCTCAAAGTAAAATAAAATAAAATAATGTACGAAGTTAAACAAACAAAAACAAAAAAACTTTGTCGGACACAAAGTAAGTGGCAAATCCAGGATTCAAATTCAGCTTCGTGGTTCGTGGTGGGCATCTCAGCAGTTAAAAGAATATATAATTAAAACGAAAAGAGGCCGGGCGCGGTGGCTCAAGCCTGTAATCCCAGCACTTTGGGAGGCCGAGGCGGGTGGATCACGAGGTCGAGAGATTGAGACCAATCTGGTCAACATGGTGAAACCCCGTCTCTACTAAAAATACAAAAAATTAGCTGGGCATGGTGGCACGTGCCTGTAATCCCAGCTACTCAGGAGGCTGAGGCAGGAGAATTGCCTGAGCCCAGGAGGCGGAGGTTGCGGTGAGCCGAGATCGCGCCATTGCACTCCAGCCTGGGTAACAAGAGCGAAACTCCGTCTCAAAAAAAAAAAAAAAAAAAAAAAAAAAAAAAAAAAAAAAACCGAAAAGAAAAAACAAACAAACTCAGCTTTGTCTTGTGCCAAGGACTGGTTTCTTTCTGTTTTTTCCGACTGCCTCCCCAAATAATGATACCCTTTTGTTCAGTCTTCTGTCAAAGCAAGATCTTTTTGTGTGGGAGCATTTTGTGGAGACCTGGGCTAGGGAGCAGAGGATGGGGAGAAAGTAGAGTGGAGCTCCTCTCGAAGGCTAGTGTGGTGGGGGTACCAGGAAGCTGCTTTTAGGTACCACCGGGGTTCTACAAAGGTGTGGGAGAGCCCAGAGCAGAGGTCACCACCTGAATTTTTCACCACTTTTCCTAAGTTGCATTTCCCCCCACCTCCACACTCCGACCTCAAATAATGGTCAGAAGCACAGGCCTTGGAATTATACTGCTGGGATGCAAGTCCTGGCTCACTGTCGATTAGTGTGCGATCTTGTACACATCTCTTATTCACTCTGTGCCTCCGTTTTTTTTTTTATTTTTTCCTCTTGAGATGGAGTCTTGCTCTGTCACCCAGGCTGGAGTGCAGTGGTCTGATCTCAGCTTACCGCAACCTTTGCCTCCCGGGTTCAGGCGATTCTCCTGTCTCACCCTCCCAAGTAGCTGGGATTACAGGTGTGTATCACCATGCCCAGCTAATTTTTGTATTTTTAGTAGAGACAGGTTTCACCATATTGGCCCAGGCTGGTCTAGAACTCCTGACCTCAGGTCATCTGCCTGCCTTGGCCTCTCAGAGTGCTGGGATTATAGACGTGAGCCACCATACCTGGCCTATGCCTGTTTTGTTACCTGTAAAATGGGCATAATAATAGGGTGGTTGTAAAGGATTAAATGAGATAATGTGTGTGAAGGGTTTGGAATAATTATGGGCACCTAGCAAAGGTGCAAGAACTAAATATTGGCTATATTTTACCAATCCTGGATTCACTACTTAAAGTGTTGCTTTGGGGGAGTCAGTCCTCCTTTTGCAACCTCAGCTTCCTCATCTGAAACATGAAGACTAGAACACAGCTAGAGCAAGATAGTGAGACCCTGTCTACAAAAGATAAAAAAACTTAGCTGTGTGTGGTGCTGTGTGTCAGTAGTCCCAGCTACTCAGGAGGCTGAGGCAGGAGAATTGCCTGAGCCCAGGAGGCGGAGGTTGCGGTGAGCCGAGATCGCGCCATTGCACTCCAGCCTGGGCAACAAGAGCGAAACTCCGTCTCAAAAAAAAAAAAAAAAGAAAAGGAAAAAAAAAGGGCCAGGCGCAGAGGCTCATGCCTGTAATCTCAGCACTTTTCGAGGAGTGGGTGAATCACAAGTTCAGGAGTTTGAGACCAGCCTGGCCAACATGGTGAAACCCTGTCTCTACTAAAAATATAAAAATTAGCCGGGTATAGTGGCAGGCACCTGCGATCCCAGCTACTTGGGAGGCTGAGGCAGAAGAATCGCTCCAACCCGGGAGGCAGAAGTTGCAGTGAGCCAAGATCGTGCCATTGCACTCTAGCCTGGGTGACAGAGCAAGACTTCGTCTCAAAGAGAAAAAAAAAGGTTATTTTTGTTTCATTTTTAAAATTTGCTTTTTTTTTTTTTTTTTTTTGAATGGTCTCACTCTGTCTCCCAGGGTGGCATGCAGTGGTATAGTCGTGGCTCACTGCAGCCTGGAACTCTTGGACTCAGCAATGCTCCCACCATATGCTGCCATGCCCAGCTAGTTTTTACCTTTTTTTGTGGAGATGGTATCTCTGGGTCTTACTATGTTGCCCAGGCTGGTGTTGAACTCCTGGCCTCAAGCAATCCTCCTGCGTCAGCCTCCCAAAGTGTTGGGATTACAGGTGTGAGCCACCATGTCCAATCAGTGAATGAGTAAATGATTTATGTTATGGTGACCAAGTCAGGGGAGACTGAGGTACCTCTGGCTGTGAGATAATTAGTTTAGGGTCTGGACAATAACCTCATCCAGCCAGAATATTGCTGTGCCTGTTCACACTGTCATTGTCACTTTATAGGTTTTACCTGTTTGATTCAGGGCTCCTTTATATTCATTGGAGTTTCGTAATAATCCTGTGTGGGAGACAGAACAGAAAGTGTTACTCCCATTTTCCGATGAGGAAATAGGATCAGGGACATTGAGACCTACCAAAGTTACGTAATACCAGTAGTAGGAAAAGGATTTCAACCCAGGCCTCTAGATTCCCTTCCTGGGACTTGGAAGCTCCTGGAAATTCTAGGTTAACTGGATTCTGATCTCCCTGTCCCACAGACTCGGAGCTGATGTCTGTGCTGTCCTCCGGCTCTCTGGTCCACTCAAGGAGCAGTATGCTCAGGTAGGTGGTGCTCTGTGGCATCTGGTGTGGTGGGAGGGGCCGGCTCCTGGACTTTTTAGTGGCTGCTGCCTGAGTCACTGGTATGATCCCCGTGACCAGTGCTGGCTGGGTGGTGGCCAGCTCTTGGTTTCTGTGAGTGGACCTTTCGGGGGCATTTTTAGCTTACGTTTCTTTGCTAATAGCCTCCCTCCCTTTCAAGCGTGTTCCAGAAGGTGTGCCCAGGAAAGGTTGCTGACACTTGAGTTGGCAGCTCCGATGCTGTGTGAGTAGTAAGGACCTGCCCATGTCTCCTCGCACTGTACCCTCACTCAGCTGGCCTGACACAGCCCCTGGAACTCTGCTCCTAGAAATTTAGTACAGGCCGAGCGCAGTGGCTCACGCCTGCCATCCCAGCACTTTGGGAGGCTGAGGCAGGTGGATTGCTTGAGTCCAGGAGTTAGAGACCAGCCTGCCCAACAGGGTGAAGTCTCGTCTCTACTTAAAAAATTTTTTAAAAGAGTAAACAACAACAACAACAAAAAGACATTTAGTTCCAAAAGTTGCTAAAATATATTATTAAGTGAAAAAAAAAAAAAAAAGACAAAACCAAGATGTATAGTGGTGTGTAGAGAAGGCTCCATTTGTCTAAAACCAGAGAGGCACTCCAGGAACGACTCTGTGACCAAGAACTGTAAAAGAATTATGACTGTATCTGCTCACATATTCAGCTATTTAACAAGTATTTATGGGGTGCCTGTCTCGTGTTCGGCATTGTTTCAGTACCTGGATGTGTTCTTGCACTGTGTGGGAAAGACACGTTAGAAACTACCATTGGTTGCCCCCAGGGAGGGGACAGGGTGAGAGAGAGATTTTTCACTGTAAATCAATGTGTATCTTTGCATTTTGAACCAAATGGATTTTTTTTTTTAAAGGGTTTCTAAAACAATAAAAAATAAGTCAGTAGGAACTCTCAGAATCTTAGACTTCAGAAAGGGAACCTGGAAGGCATGATTAGCTTCCTTCATGGCGAGGAGCCCTCTTGTCGCCTACATTTTGCCCTTGGTCTACAGGTGCAGCCTTCTGGGACATGTACTCTGGCCCCTCGGTCAGTTGGCCTGAGTGTGGCCTCTGGAGCCACATAAAATGAATTCCCCCACTTCTGTATGCCAGCTCTGTCTCTGTAGGAAGCATTGGGTCATTCTCTTACCAGCTGAACAGACCCATTTGTAGGTTGGCAGCCTGAGGAAGTGTAGGAGTAACTAAATTAAGTGTTTTAATTTGTTTTTTTTTTCTTTTTGAGATGAGGTCTTGCTCTGTTGTGCAGGCTGGAGTGCAGTGGTGCATAATGGCTCGCTGCAGCCTTGACCTCCTGGACTCACCCGATCCTCCCACTTCAGCTTCCCGAGGAGCTAGGAATACAGGTGCATGCCACTATGCCCGGCTAGTTGTTGTTGTTTTTTTTTTTTTTGAGAAGGACTTTCGCTCTTGTTGCCCAGGCTGGAGTGCAATGGCTCGATCTCTGCTCACTGCAACCCCCGCTCCCCGGGTTCAAGCAATTCTCCTGCCTCAGCCTCCTGAGTAGCTGGGACTACCGGTGCATGCCAGCACGGCCTGGCTAATTTTTTGTGTTTTAGTAGAGATGGGGTTTCACTGTGTTACCCAGGCTGGTCTCAAACTCCTGAGCTTAGGAAATCCACCCACCTCAGCCTCCCAAAGTGCTGGGATTACAGGTGTGAGCCACCACACCTGGCCAATCTTTTTTAAAAAAATTTTTGAGGTGGAGTTTTGCTTTTGTTGCCTAGGCTGGAGGGCAATGGCATGTTCTTGGCTCACTGCAACCTCTGCCTCCCAGGTTCAAGCTCTTCTCCTGCCTCAGCCTCCCAAGTAGCTGGGATTACGGGCACGTACCACCATGCCCAGCTAATTTTGTATTTATAGTAGAGATGGGGTTTCTCCATGTTGGCCAGGCTGGTTTCAAACGCCCAACCTCAGGTGATCTGCCTGCCTCGTCCTTCCAAAGTGCTGGGATTACAGGCATGAGCCGCTGTGCCCGGCCCATGCTTGGCTAAGTTAAATTTTTTTTTTTTTTTGTAGAGATAGATGGGAGTCTCATTATGTTGCCCAGGCCGGTCTCCAACTCCTGGACTCAAGCGATCCTCCCTCTGTGGCCTCCCAAAGTGCTAGGATTTAGGTGTGAACTACTTTGCCTGGCCTGGTTTTCAAACGTTTAAGCAGGATTCGTTCCCAAATGAAACTGGATACAGAATTTCTTTGTATCCAGGAGATAGACTGGGAGAGACTCTGGGGTGGTGGGGTGGTGGTAGGGGGATGGGAGGAGGGAAAGGGTGAAGGGGGAGGCACTGAGCCTTCCCCACTGGGGCCTAGACACTTCCAAAGGCCTTCCAGGAGCATTTTCAAAACTGATCTTCCAAAGTTCCCAGACAGGTCATGCTTCAGTCCTACTGAGTCAGACTGGCGGGGTTGGGTTGGGGGGCGGGAGGAGAAAGGGGCAGGAGTTTGCATTTTTAAAACCTCCTTGGAAAACTCTGATAGGCCAGACTGCCCTTGCTCTGTGGAAGTCCAGCACCACTCTGTCCCCAACTCCCATTAAAAAACAAAACCAAAATGAAATGTTGATGTATTGATTTCCTAAGTCAGAAGGGGAAATGTAACCGACATGCAGCCCACGATGCTCCTGGAGGGAAACCAGTTCAGGAGCAGGAGGTGGCTGCTGACCTTCTCTTGCAGCAGGGGGAGCAGGTGGGTGATCAAGAAATTGAGAGCCCCAGGGGAGAACGTCTTGCTGCAGTGAGTTATGGAGGAGCTAGAACCTGAACTGGGTGATGCTTTTCAGACCCCTCCTATCCTGGATCCCTTTGGATGGACCCTTCTGCTTGGAGCGGGGAGAAAGCCGCTCTGCACGGTGGTCAGAGTAGCCTCTCCTGCCTGGGGGTCCTCTGAGTGTGGGAGGCCTTGCAAGTGCTCAGAGCCAAAAGGGGTGATGCTGTTTCAGCAAAGGCACCAGGAATCTGGGGATGGGAAGGGGTGAGGGTGAGAGAGGGAGACATACAATCTCCCTGGGATTTGGGATGGGGGCAAGTGATGCTAGTGGGAGGACATGGAATGCTGCTGCTGTTTTTTTCCCCCTCAGATTTCCCACTTTAGTTAAAGGCTAAGCCTGTGCCCAGGGGATGCAAACTAATTTCAGGATTAGTTTAAGCCAGAAATAATTGGGAAGGTAAACCTTGCAAAAGGGAAACCACATCACATATTTCAAAGGCAAATGGAAACACTTTGTGGATTATCCCCAGACCTTTCTTCCTTCTGCCAGTGATCAGGATTTCTTAGTTGCTGGAGCTCTTTCCCTTGCAGACCTTTGTCCTAGCTGAAACCTCATTAATCCTTGTATCAGCCTTAGGGGAGGCAGGTGAGGGTGAGGGATGGTTCTTCTGCGGTTTTAGGAGGGACCACTGAGGTTGAAAGACTGGTGACATAGACATAATGTCTTTTGGGCAGGAGCATGGCTTGAACTTCCAGAGACTCCTGGATGCCAGCAACTACAAGGAGGCCTTTCGGAGGGACATGATCTGCTGGGGAGAGGAGAAACGCCAGGCTGACCCAGGCTTCTTTTGCAGGAAGGTTGTGGAGGGCATCTCCCAGCCCATCTGGGTAAGAGAGCTCCATGACAGCCCGAAGAACACCTGTTTCCCTAGCTCTTTGCTGTGTCCATCTCTCTCTGTCTCCACTGCCACCACCCTGGCCCTAGCCCTCACCATCTCTGGCCTGTGGCCTCCACACTGGTCTCTAGCTGTGGCTCTTGCCCTCTGTGGTCTGTCATGACACAGCAGCCAGACAGACTTTTTATTGTTTGTTTGTTTGTTTATTTATTTATTTGTTTTTGAGATGGAGTCTTGCTCTTATCCCCCCGGGCTGGAGTGCCATGGTGCAATCTCAGCTCACTGCGACCTCTGACTCCTGAGTTCAAGTGATTCTCCTGCCTCAGTCTCCCAAGTAGCTGGGACTACAGGTGCCTGCCACCATACCCAGCTAATTTTTGCATTTTTAGTAAAGATGGGGTTTCACCATGTCGGCCAGGCTGGTCTCAAACTCCTGATCTCAGGTGATCCACCTACTTTGGTCTCCCAAAATGCTCCGATTATAGGTGTGAGCCACTGCCCCTGGCCCAGACTGACCTTTCAAAAACATGAGCCAAGTGATGTCACTCTTCTGTTTAGAATCCTTCAGTTGCTTCCTATCGTTCTCATGAACAAGATGGAAATCTTTCACATGAACTTCTGGGCCTTGTGTGATCCAATTTCTGCTACTTTTTTAGCCTGCTTACTCCTTGAGCTATAGCGACACTGGCCTTCTTCCTGGTCAGTTGAACTCCTTCTGGAATCAGGGCCTTTGCACATGCCTTTCCATCTGGCTGGACCACCTTTCTTTCTCTCTTTCCCTGGTTAGCTCCAGCTCAGTTGACATGACACCTCCACCGAGAAGCCTTCCCTAATATTCAGGGCTTAACTGTGCTCCCTGGCAGGTGCTCCTGTAGCACTTTACCCTTTGTCTTCCTCATTCATTCCGGCAGTGAATATCGAGTATCTCCTTAGGCCAGTCGTGGTTCTGGTCAAAAATGCAATGAAGTCTTTTCCTTCAGGGAGCTTACGTTATGGCTGAGGGTGGAGAGGAGACAGACACAAAATAAAGACAGATGATGTCAGGTGGGGGTAAATGCTAAGGGAGTACGATAGAGGAGGCCGAGGATATGAGGAAGATCGAGAAGCCGTGCTGTTTTGCTAAGGGGGCCTGGGAAAGCCACACTGATATGATGATGTCTGAGCTAGACCTGAAGGAAGTAAAAGGAAGTAAGGGATAACTGAACGGATATTTGGGGAAGAAGCTTTCCAGAGAAAGAGCAGGGAGTGCAAGGGCCTGAGTGGTGAGTGTGCCTGGTCTGTCTGAGAACAAGCCAGGTGGCCAGAGTGGGTGAGGGTGAGTGGTGGGAGGTCAGGTGAGACCTCCCAGGCAGGACCTTTGGGAGAGCTGGGATTTTATTCTGAGTGACATGAGGAGTCACTAGAGGCTTCCGAGCAGAGGAGAGGTGTGATCTGATTCAAGATTGAGAAGGCTGGCCTTAGCTGTTGTGGGGGAAGATGGGAGCAGAAGCAGAGGGGCTGGGTGGGGGACCGTTCTGGTTTTTTTTTTTTTTTTTTTTGAGACAGTCTTACTCTGTCACCAAGGCTGGAGTGCAGTGACACGATCTCAGCTCCCTGTACCCTCCGCCTTCTGGGTTAAGCGATTCTCATGCCTCAGCCTCCTGAGTAGCTGGGATTAATAGCATGTGCCATCATGCCCAAGTAATTTTTTAATTTTTATTTTTAGTCGAGATGGGTTTCGTCATTTGGCCAGGCTGGTCGGGAATTCCTGACCTCAAAGGACCCTCCTACCTTGGCCTCCCAAAGTGCAGGCATGAGCTACCGTGCCCAGCCAGGACCTTTCTGTAACAGGTGAAATGACTGTGGTTGGAGCGTAAGGGCAGTGAAGGTAGAGTGGGGAGAAGGGGTCAGTTTTGCTTGTATTTTGAAGATAAAGCCAACAGGATTTGTTTATGGCTTAGCTGTGGACAATACCAAGGATTTTGTTCTGAGCAGCTGGACAAATACAGAATTATCATTTTCTGACACAGGGGAGGTGGGAGGAACAGGACTGGAGAGGAAATCAGGAGTTGAGTTTCCGCCGAGCTGAGGTTGAGACACTTATTGACACACATTGCGATCACTGTTATTTGATCACTGAAGACTTGTTCAGTGCCCGTCTCTCCCAGTAGACCATAAGCTCTGAGAGGGCAGGCACAGGGTCTGTTTTGCTTACCACTCTAGCCTTGGCACCTAGCAGAGTGCCCAGCCCACAGTAGGTACTTGCTATAATACTCGCTTAATAATTGGATGAATGAACTTGTCAGCAGCGCTGCCTGACGTGTAGTTGGCACTCAGCGGTGTGTGTTCAATGAATGAATGAATCCGTGAATAGTGAGGTCAGCAGCTGACATGGTTGTGGTGATGGGGGATAGAGCCACACCCCACACTGCCCTGGGTTCTGTAGTCCTCCCATCTCCCCCCACTTCCAGCATCCTGTCATGTTGGTCACCTGTCTGTGTCCCTCCCCTGCAGCTGGTGAGTGACACAAGGAGAGTGTCTGACATCCAGTGGTTTCAGGAGGCCTATGGGGCCGTAACTCAGACGGTCCGCGTTGTAGCGTTGGAGCAGAGCCGACAGCAGCGGGGCTGGGTGTTCACAGCAGGTGAGCTGCTCCATGTGTAGGGCACAGGCTGCCCACCCTGCGGTTTCTCGTGCTGTTTCCCTGGGACGCCTGAGGGGAGTGAGTGAGGGATGGTAAAGGGGAATCTAAGGCCTCCTGATTGGGGAGTGGCATGGTGGAGGGCGTCCTGGGGGCCAAGGTTTTCTGGGCTTAACCTAGGCTATCTTCTCATGGCCAGCGGGCTTCTTTGGTGGTCTGGCTGGGACCCACCCCGATGGTCCTTCACCTTTGCTTTCCAGTCCGGTAGGGGCTGACAGTGTTCAGGGGCAAACCCGACAAAGCTCACTGCTGTTTAACAGTAATGGAGGCGGGCGTCGGTAGCGGAGGTGGGAGTTGGTAGGTGAGAGTCGGTAGGAGGCGGGAGTCAGTAGTGGAGAGGAAGTTTTTCTGGGAGCTTCAGTGGTGCCAGCCCAGGACCCGCTCTGTGCACCTCGGAGGCACAGCTCAGGCTTCCTTCCTGCCCTAGGTCCCTGTGGCATGGAGCAGTTCAGGTCCGATGGGTAGGACCACTACTAATGCCGCTTATTTCTGGGGCACTCACGTGGTCCAGGCCCGTGCTAAGCATTTTCTATGCAGTCTCACTTTACCATGAAAACAGATAGAGCAGGTAGATGCTGTTATTAGTTTACCCGGGGTCAGATGAGGCCCTGGCCTGAAAGGTCACTCTTTCCCAGGGTCACAGAGAGTGAGAGCAGGAGTTGGCCTCCCGACCCTCTGGTTCTAACCCGGCACTTGCTGCCCTCTGAGGGGACTGAATCAGACAGATTTAAGGATAGAAAAGAACACAACCGGCTTGACAGCAGATGAAAACACAGTGGTGTGCGGTTTCACACGACCCGATTCACTCTGTAGGCAGTAGCAAGTGAAGAATTAAGTCAGCATGGGCCGGCTGTGGGGCTCAGGTGGCTGTGGGCTGCTGAACCTGCCATTGCACCGTTTCAGGGGTAGGGAGGCACCTTCTGGGTGGGGAGCACTTGGCTCTGGGGTAGCCGGGGAGAGGCTGGGGAGGGCCCACTCGTCTTGGGGCTGGCAGGCCTCGATGCCTGACGTCTGCCTGGAGCGCCGGACCTCGCCATGCTTCCTCCACAGGGGTGGATGACGCTGAGTCAGAATGTGGCCTGGACAACTTTGGGGACTTTGACTGGGTCATCGAGAACCATGGAGATGCGCAGCGCCTGGAGGAGCAGCTGGAGACCCTGACGGAATTTATCCGCACCAGACTTTAGTCACTAGGTTCTAGGAGTGAACTGGGGCGTGCTGAGGTGGGGGTGGGGCTGACTCTGCAGGTTGGGGGGTGCCCGATCCTGGCTCAAGGTGAGGAACAGACAGAGAGGGGTCTGGATTCTGGGGAGGTGGTTGGTGGATTTTGGGCAAGCCAGGAAACCTCTGGAGATCTCATTTTCTCCTTGGAAGAGTATGGAAGACAGCCATACTCTTCGGTAGGAGACTCCAAGGGCAAAGGAGGGTGACGTGGCTGTGCTTGAAGGAGAAACCCCAGGCCTCCCCCGCGCCAGTCCCCTCAGCCTGTGGTGGCCTTGCATCCTGACTGGATGTTCTCAGCCCCTTGTTCTAGGCAAGAACTCAGGGCTCCCCAGTGTGGATATTAATAAACCTCTTTGGAGCACACACTCAGAGCTGCGCCTCTTTCATTTCCCCAATGCCAACCTGGCATGGGTGGGGTTTAGAAGGCCTTAGATCAGGCATCCCCAAACTACAGCCCACGGGCCGCATGCGGCCCCCTGAGGCCATTTATCTGGCCCCCTGCCGCACTTCAGGAAGGGGCACCTCTTTCATTGGTTGTCAGTGAGAGGAGCACAGTATGTGGCGGCCCTCCAACGGTCTGAGGGACAGTGAACTGGCCCCCTGTGTAAAAAGTTTGGGGACGCCTGCCTTAGGGTGTCATGGTGGCTGGGAGTCCCTGTTCCACCTCCCACCTGGCTAGAATGTCCTACAGAGGTTACCTGTGCTGCGCCCACAGCAACAGGCCTGTTTATGTTGGAGGTAGGATCGGGGTTGAGGGCCTTACCTCCGGATGGCCCCGTAAAAGTCTGTGATCCACAGAAAGTGCCACCAGCAAGTGCCCCCTCCCCTTTTTTTCTTTTGAGACGGAGTCTTATTCTGTCACCAAGGCTGGCATGCAGTGGCGTGATCATAGCTCATTGCAGCCTTGACCTCCTGGGCTCAAGCAATCCTGTCTCAGCCTGCCAAGTAGCTGGGACTACAGGCACATACCACTACATTCGGCTAATTTTCTTTCATTTTTAGTAGAGACAAGGTCTCGTTATGTTGCCCAGGCTGGTCTTGAATTCCTGAACGCCAGCAGTGCTCCCACCTTGGCCTCCTAAAGTGCTGGGATTACAAGTGTAAGCACCATGCCTGGCCCAGCCCTGGTAATATATACAGCCTTTTAAAATTTCCAGATGTCTTCTGGATTCTTCACAGCCACCCCATGAGATGGGCGAGGATAGGATTTCATCTGCATTTAGTAGATGCCGAGAACTCAGAGAAGTGAAACAACTTCTCCAGGGTTAGAGGTTAGAGGGTTAGAGTCAGTGCTGTGTCTAACCCAGGCCACCCGACTCCTGACCAGGGCCCCTTCTGCACAGTCCTATGGGTGTGGCACACAGTCCCCTGGGACAGCTCCTTGCTGTCCCCAGATCAAGCCTAAGCACTCCAACTCTCTGGCCCTGGCTTCGTAATCCTCCCACAAATTCTGCTAGTTCTCACAGATAAGGGGACAGCCAAAGAAATTACAGTTTCAATGTGACCCAAACTGGATGTTGTACATTTCTCCCCAGATCTCCTCTGCTCTGCTGCCATCACCCTTGCTGGGTGCCAGCCACTGGGGACATAAAGGTGAACAGGTCACAGGGCTGTTCCTTAAGGAGCTCTCTTGCTGAGAAATAGATGCCCCCCCCACCCCCCACAGGTGCCTGGCAGCCCGAAGTCAGTGCCAAAGTGAACTTTGGTTCTCCGGGAAGGAGGCTGGGCTTTCATGACACCCCAGGCCTGCCGTACCCAGGTGAGCACTGACCCCTTATCTCAGGGGCACTGGCATTGCTGCTTGGAATGCCCTCTCTGGAGCTGGAAGCAAATGATTGTCAATCATCCCAGTCATGGAAATGCCAAAAGTCATTGGGGCCAACCCTGATGAATGTGGGAGACAGTTTTTGGGCTACAAACCTTGATGAGTATAAAGCAGTCGAGTGTGGGCTGGGCACAGTGGCTCACGCCTGTAATCCCAGCACGTTGGGAGGCAAAGGAGAGTAGATCATTTTAGGTCAGGAGTTCAAGACCAGCCTGGCCAACATGGCAAAACCCTGTCTCTACCAAAAATACAAAAATTAACTGGGCATGGTGGCAGGTGCCTGTAATCCCAGCTGTTTGGGAGGCTGAGGCAGGAGGATCGCTTGAACCCTGAAGGTGGAGATCCTGCCACTGCACTCCAGCCTGGGTGACAGAGCAAGACTCCATCTCGAAAAAAGAAGAGCAGAAAGGACACAGTCACATCCAGGAGAATGGAGAGTCCACGGGACCAGCTAAGAGGCTTCTGCAAAATTCCATGCAGGAAGTAGCACAGGCTGAAGGAGAGGGTTGCCGGAAAGCAGATGGGTCAGTGGTGGCATTCAACTTCGTTTCCGACCCATCCCACCTGATACCAGGCATATTCCCATCAGTGAAACTGGCTCACTGCCTGAAGCAGAGCAGAGGTTCCGGGCACAGGAGTCCGGTCAGAACCTCCGTGTTGGAGGTGAGGAAACACCTACTGCATGGTGATTACCTGTTTGATTCCAGCATGTCTTCTGTGGTCCCGTCTCACCGTGCATGCAATCACTCAACTTCCTCAGCGCCTGCTGTGGCTCTAGGAGCTAGGGACATAGCTGCAAGAGAGGCACGGGTCCGCCATCATGGAGTTTCCCTTTCAGAAATAATCCTAGACATGGAAGTTTCCACAGAACCTGGGGACTGACTGGCCACAGCAGTCAGCGAGATGGAGGAATTCAAGCTTGTGCCAGAAACCCTGGGTTTTGTTGCCTTCCCTGAGGCGGGTGTCGTTGGCGTGTGGGAATGTGGTGGTACCTTCTCAGTTTGGGAGGCAGCCAACCCCCGCCTTCACAGGCGATGAGGGTCAAAGCTCCGGATGGATGTGAACATATCAAGTGTGGTACCAGTGTAAGGGCTGACACAGACAGCGACGTAGGCACTGGTGGGTCTCCTTTGTCCTCTGGGAGGGGTGCTGCCCTGCTTTCTTGGCTCTGGGTATTTGGAGGAGTCACAAGATTGTGGCTTGGGAAGCCAGTGGGTGTGTCTACCTTGTGACAGGTTGGCACTGACGCCCCTTAAAATAGGAAGCCCAGTGTGTGCTGGATTTGAAGGTCACTTTTTTTTTTTTTTTTTTTTGAGATGGAATCTCTTTCTGTCGCCCAGGCTGGATTGCAGTGATGCAATCTCGGCTCACTGCAACCTCTACCTCCTGGGTTCAAGTGATTCTCCTGCTTCAGCCTCCTGAGTAGCTGGGATTACAGGTGTATGCCACCACATCTGGCTGATTTTTGTATTTTTAGTGGAGATGGGATTTCTCCCTGTTGGTCAGGCTGGTCTCCAATGCCTGACCTCAGGTGATCCACCTGCCTCGGCCTCCCAAAGTGCTGGGATTACAGGCATGAGTCACCAAGCCCTGCATACTTATTTTTTCTTCAAGATGGGGTGTCCCTCTGTCACCTGGGCTGGGATGCAGTGGCATGATTATAGTTCACTGCAGCCTCAAACTCCTGGACTCAAGTGATCCTCCCACCTCAGCCTCTGGAGTAGCTAGGACTAAGGTACGCACCACCGTTCCTGGCTAATTTAAATTTTTTTTGTAGAGATGGGGTCTCACTACGTTTGCCAGGGCTGGTCTTGAACTTCTAGCTTCAAATGAGCCTTCCACTTTGGCCTCCCAAAGTGTTGGGATAACAGGCATGAGCCACCGTGCCTGGCCAAATTATTTTTAATATTATGTGTATGTTATTTTACTTCTTTTTTTTTCCCAAGATGGAGTCTTGCTCTGTTGCCCAGGGAGTACAGTAGCATTATCTCTGCTCATTGCAACCTCCGCCTTCTGGGTTCAAGTGATTCTCCTGTCTCAGCCTTCCAAGTAGCTGGGATTACTGCACCTGCCACCATACCCAGCTAACTTTTTTTCTTTTGCTTATTACTCACCCGTGAATGTATGTATATGTTATTTTAATCATGATTTGTAACACTAACAGCCTCTTTAAAATTTTGTTGTATTTCTAAACAACTTTATTGAGATAAACTAGAATATAATAACTGCATATATTTAAAATTTACAATTTGGGGGCCACGGTGGCTCATTCCTCTAATCCCAGCACTTTGGGAGGCTGAGATGTGCAGATTACTAGAGGTTAGGAGTTCGAGACGAGCCTGGCCAACATGGTGAAACCCTGTCTCTATTAAAATACAAAAATTAGCTAGGCGTGGTGGTGTGCGCCTGTAATCCCAGCTACTTGGGAGGCTAAGGCAGGAGGATTGCTTGAACCCGGGAGGTGGAGGTTGCAATGAGCCGAGATCTCACCACTACACTCTAGCCTGGGTGACAGAGTGAGACTCTGTCTCAAATAAAGGAAAAAAAAAAAAAAAAGAGTACAATTTGCAGAGTTTTGACATACGTATGCATATGTGAAACCACAGTACATTCACCGTGGACTTATTCATCACTCTCAATTATTTCCTCATGTCCACCTGTAATCCCTCCTCTCACCTATCCCCGACTCCCCACCCTCACTCCCAAGAAACCACTGGTCTGCTTTCTGTCACTATAGATGTTTATATTTTCAAGGATTTTATATAAAGAGTAATAGACCAGATGTGGTGGCTCAAGCCTGTAATTCTAGCACTTTGGGAGACTGAGGTGGGCGGATCACCTGAGATGGGAAGTTCGAGACCAGCCTGACCAACATGGAGAAACCCCATCTCTATTAAAAATACAAATTAGCTGGGTGTGGTAGCGCATGCCTGTAATCCCAGTTACTCAGGAGGCTGAGACAGGAGAATCACTTGAACCTGAGAGGTGGAGCTTGCAGGGAAGTCACAATTGCGCCATTCCACTTCAGCCTGGGCAACAAGAGTGAAACTCTGTCTCAAAAAGTAATAAATTTTGGCCAGATGCCATGGCTCACGCCTGTAATCCTAGCATTTTGGGAGGCCAAGGCAGGCAGATCACCTGAGGTCCGGAATTCAAGACTAGCCTGGCTAACATGATGAAACCCTGTCTCTACTAGAAGTAGAAAAGAAATTAGCCAGGTGTGGCGAACACCTGTAGTCTTAGCTACGTGGGAGGCTGAGGCAGGAGAATCACCTGAGCCCAGGATTTTCTTTCACTTAACATAATGATTTTGAGAGTCATCCACATTATTGATGGTATCAGTAGTTCATCCCTTTTTCTTACGGGTATGTGGTATGAATATACCACAGTTGTTTGCCAATTCACCTGCTGATGAATATTTAGGTTGTTTCTAGTGTTTGGATATGACAAATAAAGCAACTATAAACATTCACGTACAACATGTATAGGTCTTTGAGTGGACATCTGCTTTCATTTATCTGAGGTAAGTATCTTTTCA